AGCTGCGGCTCTATGCACGTTCCAGTGTATTTACAGTGGCTGTCATCAAGAATTAGCCTTGAGAGATTTGCAGCGACATTGTTACCCAAAAGTCAACAAGTTTTTTCCACTAAACTAACTATCCAGAGCTGTGCAATAGTAATGGAGTGAGGTCAATAGTTCCCAGCTTCTTCTCATGTTGGAGACCTGTTGAAAAGTAGAAAAAATCACTACATATGGTAAAAAGCAATGTGGAATTGCTTTTATTTGTTACTGGACTGTGGGCTGTAAAGTCAGGGTGAAAGAAAGATAACCTGCAGGGTGGACGAGGAAGGTATTTAGACTATTCAAGTACATGCAAACTGTATATATACTGTTTCAGAGGAGGTGTTCAAGACAGCTAGGAGAGGTGCTGACCATGGGGCATTTCCTAGATGCAAACCTGGGTTTGCCAGTGGGGAGAGATCAAATTCTGCAGTGATTCTTGGAAGCACCCCGGGAATACCAGCTTTTTTCTCCTGGGGTGAACTTCCCTGCCACATCCACTGGTGGTTGGTTTCTAAACGCTGGCGTTTAGAAAGGGACCTCATTATTAGTGGCCACAAAATAACATGTGCCTTGTATTCCTCCTAATATCGCATTCGTTTTTTTTTCTCTGTGATAATTTGTGGCATATCTTGCTATTTTTCCATAGACTGCAGTGGGAGGAAATCTGAACTCTGTTTTGAAAAGCATCTTAGACTGTAACTTTTAAGACAGCTTTTATGGCATCACATTATCTTACTTACATAGCATATCCTTACAGTGAATTCTCAGCAAAATGGAACGACGCTAAGTGAGATGAATTCCTCTGCTTGTTTGGGGAATGCAAAATGTAATCCCATAGAAATTTCACTGTAATTTGCTGTGATTACTCTCTGCTTTCATTAAGCTATTTCCTGGTTTGACATTTTTTATATGTCTCTGCTCTAAACTTAGCTCTAAACTTCAACCTTTATGGTACTGCAAAAATAGATTCATTAGCGGAGCCTCCCTCAGGTGGGTAACATTAAAATAAATAGTAGGTTATCTAAGGTACTACGCAGTTGCATGCTGACAGAATTCTTCCACCTTCACTGAACTTCCCTGTGGAGACAGCCCTAAAATTGTGGTCATTGGCATGAAACATCCATCTTGCAGGTCCACCATCAGGTCCCTGGCTGTGGCACGGGGTGGGCAGTGAGGGTCCGTCAGCAGATAGAGCAAAATGCTCTGCATCACTTTAAGAAAGCAAACATTCACTGTGGCATTATTATAGGTAAGGAGAAAAACAGCCAGAAGCAATCATTAACGATGCCATATTCCCTCTTTTATTAAGGCACTAACCTTGTCCTGACCTTGACCTTTATGGCAAGGGTTTCTGGAGCTGGCCAAGGATTAGGCAGTTGTATTAGTCACAGTGTCCTAAAATCTTTCTGTAACTAAGAGAAATGTCAAGTACCGGCTTGTAATGAAGTGTGTGTGCTCCCCATCACCTTTTCTTTCTTGTATTTGTCTTTTCACTTCAGCAAGACCTGTGGGATTAACAAGCATGCTAAGAGGAAGGGAACAGCTACACGTGGGTTTTAATCTTTCCACGTCTTTCCTTTATTTAATGCTCCCTGCAAAGATACTTCTAGTGACCAAAGACAAAAAAAAAGGTGGTAATGTCATCCTAACTGAGGAGCTTTTCCATGTGTGTGTTAATTGCCCCTCTTCTTTCCAGGAATCCTTTCCATCCTTGTAGAAATGTCTTTTCCACCTCTTTTTCCCCACTTTTTTGTAGTTCTGCACATCCTGTGGCTTATAGAGGAACTGAAACAGGCATCGCCGCTTTTCTCCTCACGCTTACTCGCCTACCATTTTGTTCCTTCATGAGGAGCAAATTCAGCTCTTGCACTGGAGAGCTAAAACACCGAGGAAATGGTAGTTTATTTTACCACTTCGTAACGCCTGTTCCAGTAGACCCAGATATTGTTGGCAAAAGCTTTATCTACGTTTTTTCCTCTTTAATGCAAACACAAAAAGGTGTTCTGGCAAAAGTGGTTTTGCAGAGGTAGCTTCTGCCAATTCAGCAGTCGGCCACACAAGCAAAAGCACGGCTGGTTTCAGGGGAAGCTGAAGCCGTAGCCAGGCGCCAGGCTTGTAGCTGCGTCAGTTAAAAAAACCCAACCTAAATGAAACCCCGAGCTCTGCGTCTCACCCTGCCCTCACTGTGGCAGTGAGACTTTAAATGTAGGCTTAGAGGAAAGAAAAAGCGCTTCTGCAGCCAGAGCCCATTCTCCTTTCTGGACGCCAAACCTCTTACAGGCAGTGGGCTTCTTAAAATGGTCTCAGGGCTCTTTGAGGAACTTAAAAATAGGATTTGCTGCAAGTTGTCTTTTAGAATGGTAATATTTGAAGCCGCAGAAAAAGTGCGTTTTCTCACTAGATCTTAACCCCTGTTCACATCGCTCTGCCCACGCTGGGCAAGTGTGGGGGTCAGAGGGGAAAAACGCCTGATATTGCAGGGGAAATAACCAAAGCGGCGCAGTGAATCGGAGTTGTTTTTCAGCTCCTGACACTATCTCCGAAATGAAAAGTGTGCTAATATATTATGGGCTGTTCAGTCTCCTGAAACCTTAGATAACTGCATCATTGTGTTAGAGCTGAAGTGCGAGGCATGTCGCAGGAGAGTGATCTTCTTTGGTATCAAGCCGTGTCCTGCAGTATTGTATTTATCTTCCTGCTCTTGCTCCAATTCAGAGGAGGGAGTGATAACAGTGAGATTGTGAGCCGTCCGAGCTGTCCAAACAAGATTTAGGCAAATGACATGAGAGTGTATTTGAGGTTTTTTTTATTTCCCAGTATGAAGTGAAAACGTTTCTGCTTTACCATTTCCTTTGGAAGCATGTTCACTGGTCAGCAAAGCAAGCAGACAGCAGCAGAGCCATGCTGTTATTCTCATCACAGATAAATGAGTTTTCAAAGAATGGGAGAGAAGCTTCAGTCTTAAAATTTTATATAATTTCCAAATTGTAAAAGCAAGCTTAAAATATCTTTGTATGAGAAAACCACCGGCCCATCACA